TCAACTCCCATAATTCTCCAGCCAGCATGGATGGACTTCAACTCCCAAAATTCTCCAGCCACCCATGAATTCTGGGACTGGAAGTCCACCCATCTTCAACTGGGCAAAGTTAAGAAACTCTGCTTTGATCCAATTCCCTACATTGTTCTGAGGTCCTCTCTCCCACCCACCCAAGAGACAAATTGTACAAAGCCCGAGACACAAGGGACACCACAACACGGCGGAGATGAAATCTGGGTTTAAAGTTGGGAAAAAACAACAACCCCAAACCCTCACTATACCTCTAATCATCATCAGTACTCGGTTGAGTTGGAGATTGAGACTCATCCATAGTGGGTGAGCTGCCTCTGGCATCTCTGAGCAAAGAAGAACCAAAGCAGAGAGAGAGAGAGAGAGAGAGAGAGAGAGAGAGAGAGAGAGAGAGAGGGAGAGAGAGAGAGAGAGAGAGAGAGAGAGAGAGAGAGAGAGAGAGAGAGAGAGAGAGAGAAAGGGAGAGGGAGAGGGAGAAAGAGAGAGAGAGAGAGAGAGAGAAAGAGAGAGAGAGAGAGAGGGAGAAAGGGAGAGAGAGAGAAAGGAATGGGAGAAGATCAGCCATGTTAAAAAAGAAAAGCGGGGACACACAACTTTGCCAAGAGCTTATTCACACCCATCGGGAAATGAGTTGGGGAGTCATTTCAGAAAGACAAAAGGGAGTTAGTGACGGAGGGAAATGTGCTAAAAGTCAGTTTGGGGCACTGGGAGTTGCACGGGAAGAATTGGGGAAGGGTGCAAGAAGTGGAAAAAAAGGATATATATTTTTTTTGCCAAGACGAGACAATGCAGTTCCTCGAACAGTGTTTCTCAATCGGGATCATTTTAAGAAGTATGGACTTCAATTCCCAGAATTCCCCTGGGAGTTGAAGTCCACGCTTCTTAAAGTGATCCAGGTTGAAAAAACACCTAGACTAATTAAAAAAAACCTCCCCTCTATAAAAGATCAGATATTCCTGAGGTTTTTTTTTTTTTTTCCCCTTCCAAGGGTGCAAAATCACGTATTATTATTTGATTTATTTATTTTTGGTTAAGCAATCAGCTGTACCTATAACCTAGATCAACTCTTGGAAAAGTTCTCACGCAGAATCCCTTCTCCTGAAACTGTGTGTGTGAGCTGGATCGCAGGATTCAGAAAACTGGATCGCACCTCGGAAAACTCCACTAAAATGTTAAAATAGATTTAAAAACTTGGGAGGGATCGCCCACCTTTGGGGACAGCGTGAGATTCATGGCCCAAGTAGCCCCTGTGCAAAATATTGCCAGGTGCTTCAAAACATCACCGTGGACCCAAACCACCGGAGCTACCGGTACGCTCAAAATGGTCTGAACCGGTAGCATCCCACCCGATCTAAGGCAGTGGTGGTATTTTACTGGTTCATCACGGTTAAGCCGAAGCAGTAGCTCCGAGGGTCATCTATGAGCAAACTGGTTCACTTCGATGATCAGCTGCTGGTGTATATTATATATATTATATATAATACTTCTTTGCTCTTTTTAGTTGCCAGCAGAAAGAAGGAAAGCAGTGCATTCCTTAAATGCCTCAGATAATCGCCTTAGCAGCCCAAAGCTGTCGGCGCACAAGAATATTACTGGAGAGCATGATTGATGACTCTTGGCTATAGATGCGTCCCATTGGAGGATATACATCCAGGGGGTGGGGGGAAGAACAGGGTCAAGGGGGGAAATGAAGGATGTATTTTAGTGTCGGCTGCCCCCAGCTAACGCCAACATGGCCGTTCCTATTAAAACGTTTTGTTTTACTCTGAGAGATGCGGCTAGAGACGTAGGATTTGAATGGGGGTGGATTGATTGGAGCCCTGACAGCTGGGCCCTCCCACCGGCCCTGGTTCTATTCTGACCTTTATTTCCTGTTTTTCAACCTCAGCTGCACAGCACAGCACAGCGGATTGCTGTGGGTCAGCCGTTTTACACACAGCAGGTGAGTTGCAAACATTGTGCGCCGCACGCAAAGCACGCGCTTCCACTGAACCGGTAGGAAAAAAAAATTTTTTTTTTGAAACCCACCACTGATCTAAGCCCACACCTGACGCAACCACGCGCGGCTTTTCACAGGGTGACCATTGTGGGAGATCAGCGAAGTGCGAATTGCAACTTTATTCGGGTGGGTTTCTTTCCCCTTCTTTACAATCATTCGGAGACGCTAGCTATTAATTCGGAGAGTGCACCGTGTTAAGTATAGAACAAAAATGATTGTAAAGGTCTGAGAAGTTTACACCAGGCGTTCTCAGCCAGTGGTCTGCGGACCCCCGGGGGTGTGTGCGTGTGGTGCAATTTTGTCACAGGGGTTGGAACAAATGTTGTGATTTAAAATCTTAAGTCTTGGGGGTCCGTGGCCCATGGCCACCAAAGGTATTTAGAGGGAGGGGGGTCGTGGTGAGGAAAAGGTTGAGATCCAACAGGTGGGTTTACAATGGGAATCCGTGCCCAGCCCTTGGCCCTCTCTTCCTCCCCCCCCCGGTACCCTCCCTGGGACCCAAAACTCACCCAGTTTGCCAAGCTAAGATGTGGTGTGGGCAGCTGGGGGTCAAAGACCCACAATCACTAGGTGTGGTGGTTGAAGTCCTCGGATGGTGAGGTAAGGCAGCTGGAAAAACAATGGAGACATCAAGTTGAGGTTCTCCTGCCTGTGAAACTGAATCTCTTGACGCGGGTTCCAAATATGATGTGATCTATGGCTAGTTCTTTCTTCCTTCCTTCCTTCCTTCCTTCCTTCCTTCCTTCCTTCCTTCCTT